GTTGGACAGACAGCTTAGGGTTTTACAGCCCAAGGAAAACAATGGAGCAGGGTTTGTTCATAGCAAGATTTTGTCTGGCAAAACCAGGATATGAATGTGGATCACCATCTCAAGTAATTTTAGGCAGCACATAGTATGGACCCCTAGCAGACATTAAAATTAAGACACAGTTAACCTGTTTGTCATGCCCCAAATAGGAACCCCACCACACATTCAAGAATTAATGGTGGGACAAAACAGGATGCCAGCCACAAAAATATTCCAGAAGAGATGTGCAACATTTTTGTAGACAAGGTTCTTTGGGTAAATCTGGCTGGTTTCCATTGTTCCTTAAATTGAAGGTGTGGCAGGAGTAATCAGAGCTGGCTCAAGACTCCACTGTGGTCCTCAGGCTAAGACTGACAATCGTCTGATTGTTGGTTCCAGCCTTAGGGATACACTAGAACTAATTCCAGGCTCCCATGTAGTCCCAATCCAAGCTCCAATGTAGTCCCAATCAATTTATTGCAGGTCCCAGCCCCAGGACCACATAAGAATCTGAAACTAGCTCTAGTTATCCTGCCATACCTTCAGTTTAAGGAGATATGGAAACCAGCCACAAAAAATGTTACACACATCTGGAACCAGCTCAGCTGACCCCAGCCCTGGGACTGCTCAGGTTCATTTCTGGCTCTGGGCACCTATCTTTCAAGCTGCTAGTGCAGGGAAAGGCCTGGAGCCAGGGTTCTTCCTGTACTGGCAAGTAGCAATGGTGCCATTGGGATCTGATCCCTGATCTCATAATTACACTTTCTGCCATGCATGTGTGGCATAGCAAGAAGCACAACTGTTGGGATCTGGGATAAGATCCCATCATAACATTAAATAAGTGTGTGCCAGGGGCCTCAGAACAACATTCTAGTCAGATAAGGATGTCAGTTTTACTTTTACTACATGCTTGTTTTTAAGCTGCATCCCTCATAGAACTGGGGTGTACACCTGAAGGGGAGAGATAAAGTGTACATTTAAAAAGGAATCTCAACCTGGAAAAAAGTGCCTTTAATTTTTACTACTTTTTTTTTAAATCTGGGCCCTTTCAAAATAACTTTGAGATCACACACTGGAGACATTAAAACTACATCTCACTCTGCAGTGCTGTTGAAGGCCTTTTTAATTTACAAAAATTATAAAGGAGTCCAAAAGAGTCAGGGAAAGTTTAAGTATAAAGGCTTGCAGTCAAAACTCTGAGCACACAATTGACAAATTAATAAGTATGCCCCCAAATGCAATTATAGCAGTAATTCTCCTTAAAAGGTACCAACTTCCCCACAAACTGAAATGATGACATTAGTATGTAAAAATCAACATCCCAGACTCTTTCTCATTTACACAAAGGGCTGACTTTACATTCTAATGCCCCCCCCAAAAGTACTTAAAATGCAATAAAAAGATATTTTAAGTATTTAAGCAAATATGTTCTAAACTATGCAACCAAACCCTTTAACACAGAAAGTTTACCAGCACCATAGGTAACAACTTGTGACACATGAATTAAGCATAAAGGCTTTCCTAAAAGAGCACATGAAACTTTGAAAAATATAACCCAACTCAATTACCCTCTTGATTTTAGAGAAAGGTTTCGTAGGTCTGATACATATCTATAAAAAAAGTACTGGTTTCTTCTTATAAAACAGAAGAGCTAGATATTAAAATAGTTGAGAATGTTAATCTTAATTTTTCCTGCACAATATTAAAAATGGGGATGAGATTATTGCCTGGAAGGTTCTCTTTTTGTCTTCTCCTCCCCTTAACCCCTTCCCTTTACCCCCTCACCCTGCACACACACTTCTACCAGAAGAGTTAAGGACGTTCAAAGAAATACTTTTTTAGTTTACAACAAATAATTATTTCTAAATTAGATGCAAGGCTAAGAACCCTTAATCGAAGCAAGAATCCTCTATCTTACTGAACTAATATTACAAACCGTACAACTACAGCACTGGAATCCTTTATTCATTCATCTATGAACCATGCCCTCAGCACATCCCTGTAAACGGAAGAACAATCAGATATCTGTCTTCATCTTGTCTGAAAATGATGACATTTTTCAGTAAGAAAAGGGTCCAAATGGCAGGTGTCAAAGAGTTTTAGCTTCACACGTGGTGCTAGGAGGCAGAAAAAACAACAGCAGCGTGTGGCCATGTCAGAGCTACACAGTAGCTGCCATACAAGTGCGTATCTGAAAAGAGCAAACCTCATAGTCTGTTAAATCAATCTAGTGCCAGATGCTGTTATCAGAACAAAGCTGGTGCTGTGGATTCATCCCCAGGAGAAATACACATCCCAAGTCTACAGTGGAAAGCAAAGACCTAGTATGGCACCTCTTGAGCCTAAAGATGACAGTTACCTGCATGCACCCCCACTGCTTTTATTGACAGTTTTAAAAAACAGGTTGTGTCACTGATCATAAAAGAGTATGACTTGAAGCTTCTTACTGCTGTTGCGAACAGCTTTGTAAATTTGAGCTTTCATGTCTAAAATTTACTTCCAAAGTAATCATCCAACTAAAGCAATAAATCTTTCGCTGTGACTTTGTGAATTAAGCACTGTAGTAAAGCACCAGCTTAGAGACAGAATTCCAGCCATTTTTCTTTCATTCCTCCTCCCTGCCCACCAATTCTTTGCATCTAGGCACTAAAAGCTCCCTCCACAACATGGAATGAGACCTATCATATGTCACATTGGGAAAATCAGGAATAGAATATCAAAGATATTTTTTTCTCTCCCAATAAATAAACTTCCTTGGATTTATAGCTTTCATTTAAAATTTAACCACTGCAATTAAGATACCACCCCCACAAACTTCCAAACAGAACATATTAAACACATTTACACATTACTCTGCAAACATTATTGATCCATAGCTAAATAACATTGATTACTCAACAATTTAAAGAGAGAGAGAGAGAGAGATTTGGGGGGGCGCTCTGCATCAAGCAAAAAGCAGGCCCTGGCTGGTTTCTGTGGTGTAGCGGTGATCACATTCGCCTCACACGCGAAAGGTCCCCGGATCGAGACCGGGCAGAAACAGGCTGCATGCTGCTTTGGTAGCCAGGCTGCCACAAGGGCTCT